GGAGGTAGTGGAGGAGGTGGTGGAGGAGGGAGTGCAGGAGGTAGGGCAGGAGGTAGTGAGAGGGAGTGCAGGAGGTAGTGCGAGGGAGTGCAGGAGGTAGTGCAGGAGGTAGTGCGAGGAAGTGCAGGAGGTAGTGCGAGGAAGTGCTGGAGGTAGTGCAGGAGGGAGTCTAGGAGGTAGTGCAGGAGGGAGACTAGGAGGTAGTGCAGGAGGTAGTGCGAGGGAGTGCAGGAGGGAGTGCGAGGGAGTGCATGGGGGAGTGTAGGAGGTAGTGCAGGCAGTAGTACAGGAGGTAGTGTGAGGGGGTACAGGAGGTAGTGCAAGAGGTAGTGCGAGGGAGTGCAAGAAATAAAGCAGGTGGTAGTGCGAGGGAGTGCAGGAGGTAGTGCAGGATGTAGTGCGAGGGAGTGCAAGAGGTAGTGCAGGAGGTAGTGCGAGGGAGTGCAGAAGGTAGTGCAGGAGGTAGTGCAGGAGGTAGTAAAAGAGGTAGTGCAGTAGGTAGTGCGAGGGAGTGCAGTAGGTAGTGCGAGGGAGTGCAGGACGTAGTGCAGGAGGTAGTGCGATTGAGTGCAGGAGGTAGTGCAGGAGGTAGTGCGAGGGAGTGCAGGAGGTAGTGCAGGAGGTAGTGCGAGGGAGTGCAGGAGGTAGTGCAGGAGGTAGTGCGAGGGAGTGCAGGAGGTAGTGCAGGAGGTAGTGCGAGGGAGTGCAGGAGGTAGTGCAGGAGGTAGTGCGAGGGAGTGCAGGAGGTAGTGCAGGAGGTAGTGCGAGGGAGTGCAGGAGGTAGTGCAGGAGGTAGTGCGAGGGAGTGCAGGAGGTAGTGCAGGAGGTAGTGCGAGGGAGTGCAGGAGGTAGTGCAGGAGGTAGTGCGAGGGAGTGCAGGAGGTAGTGCAGGAGGTAGTGCGAGGGAGTGCAGGAGGTAGTGCAGGAGGTAGTGCGAGGGAGTGCAGGAGGTAGTGCAGGAGGTAGTGCGAGGGAGTGCAGGAGGTAGTGCAGGAGGTAGTGCGAGGGAGTGCAGGAGGTAGTGCAGGAGGTAGTGCGAGGGAGTGCAGGAGGTAGTGCAGGAGGTAGTGCGAGGGAGTGCAGGAGGTAGTGCAGGAGGTAGTGCGAGGGAGTGCAGGAGGTAGTGCAGGAGGTAGTGCGAGGGAGTGCAGGAGGTAGTGCAGGAGGTAGTGCGAGGGAGTGCAGGAGGTAGTGCAGGAGGTAGTGCGAGGGAGTGCAGGAGGTAGTGCAGGAGGTAGTGCGAGGGAGTGCAGGAGGTAGTGCAGGAGGTAGTGCGAGGGAGTGCAGGAGGTAGTGCAGGAGGTAGTGCGAGGGAGTGCAGGAGGTAGTGCAGGATGTAGTGCGAGGGAGTGCAAGAGGTAGTGCAGGAGGTAGTGCGAGGGAGTGCAGAAGGTAGTGCAGGAGGTAGTGCAGGAGGTAGTAAAAGAGGTAGTGCAGTAGGTAGTGCGAGGGAGTGCAGTAGGTAGTGCGAGGGAGTGCAGGACGTAGTGCAGGAGGTAGTAAAGGAGGTATTGCAGAAGGTAGTGCAGGAGGTAGTGCAGGCGGTAGAGCAGGAGGTAGTAGGAGGGAGTGCAGGAGGTAGTGCGAGGGAGTGCAGGAGGTAGTGCAGGAGGTAGTGCGAGGGAGTGCAGGAGGTAGTGCAGGAGGTAGTGCGAGGGAGTGCAGGAGGTAGTGCGAGGTAGTGCAGGAGGTAGTAAACGAGGTAGTGCAGTAGGTAGTGCGAGGGAGTGCAGGAGGTAGTGCGAGGGAGTGCAGGACGTAGTGCAGGAGGTAGTGAAGGAGGTAGTGCAGAAGGTAGTGCAGGAGGTAGTGCAGGAGGTAGAGCAGGAGGTAGTGCGAGGGAGTGCAGGAGGTAGTGCGAGGGAGTGTAGGAGGTAGTGCAGGAGGTAGTGCGAGGGAGTGCAGGAGGTAGTGCAGGAGGTAGTGCAGGAGGTAGTGTGAGGGAGTGTAAGAGGTAGTGCGAGGGAGTGCAGGAGGTAGATCAGGAGGTAGTTCGAGGGAGTGCAGGAGGTAGTGCGAGGGAGTGCAGGAGGTAGTGCAGGAGGTAGTGCGAGGGAGTGCAGGAGGTAGTGCAGGAGGTAGTGCGAGGGGGTCCAAGAGGTAGTGCAGGAGGTAGTGCGAGGAAATGCAGGCGGTAGTGCAGGAGGTAGTGCGAGGGAGGGCAGGAGGTAGTGCGAGAAGGTGCGGGGAAAACATTTTATTAACCCGTTTAAGGGCATTTTTTTCATGGGGGAAGGGATGCAGAAAAATGTGGGTTTTTTTAATTGCTATGGGGTTGAATGTCAAGGTCATGACGTCAGCTATAGTGGGTGTGTTTTGAATTGGTGACAAATGGGGTTAGTGAGCAAGTGTGAACGATTTTCACGTCAGGAGTTATGGGATTTTGGGGTTATAAAAGGGGAGGCAACTTTTGAGCGGTGCGGTAGTATGGTCACAGACGTATGAGTGAACTAGGAACTTAGAAAAGTGTGAGATAGGGCGAGCGACAGCGAGATATGTCTTTTTATACAGAGCCACGATGAGATGTTTTCGTGAGTGGAATATTGTTATAGATTGGATTCATGTCTTAACTCAATGTAAACTAGATGGATGTTGTAATGCTGTCTGAAATAAACGCCTTATGTACCATGCAGCTTTTATTTTTAGTTGGATCAAACTAGTCCGTTGTGTGACAGGGATTACACGATGCCATCTGAACAGTCGCCAGAATCATAGGAGGACCTTAGACAACTAGAATATTCTGACATGGGCCAGAAGTATTTGGCATGCAAACGATTGTTTGACAGTGCAGAGCTTCAAAAAGGTTAAGAACCACGCTCATTTACGTTGCTACAATTTCACAAGGAACATGACAGTTTTTTCCTCAGAAGTACTGAAAACACCAGGATTTTACTCGAGGAGTAAAGTGCTCAGCTGATTTTAAGGGCAGCTGATTTAGATTTCCCAGACACCTCCCAGTTTTTTCTTCGGTAGCCCACCACACACTCACCTTCTACCACCCCAGTGGCGTAGCGAGGGTGTTTGGCGCCCGGGGACAAGATTCGCGCCGGGGACAAGATCCATTTTTAGCGCCCCTTTTTCTTTTTTTTCAACTCTCAAACCCATTATTTTCATCAATAAAATAATATCAAAGCACATTTTGGCGCCCCTAACTAGCTGGCGCCCGGGGACATCTGCCCCCCCTGCCCCCACCACGCTACGCCTCTGCCTAAACGTCACCTGTAAGAAAACAATGGATTTTTTAGAAAATCTGATGATTTTCTTTGAATGACGGATACATTATTCCCCTTTTAAATTAATGTTGTATACCGGTATACAATTGGTCTGGAGCCAAAAGCATACCCTCAACTACTTTTAATCTTAATTTAGTTTATGTTGGGTGAAGGGCTGGAGTTGTAGCTGGTTCTGGTCGCCGTTGTGCCCAGTGGCGTACGTAGGGCAAGTGCTGTATGTCATGACATCCTTCAAATAAAATCAACACCAAATACAAATTGTGCATACCGGTATTTATTTTTAACGCACATGTTTCTGCAATACTCACACTTTCTACTCGTGCCGCCGCAAACATAAATACCACGTAGAGATTTTAATTGAGAAATTACTCTTTGAAATAGTACATGAGATAAAAAGGCATCGGTCACCGTCACTCTGATTACGTTGTAGGGTAAAAGAAATCTTGGACACAGACTGATGGTTCCCGATTGAAAGTGGGGGGAGGGGTTTGGGTCGTGGGCTAGCCCCCTTCCCCCGACATTTTTTTAAATAAATTCAAAATACAGGGATGCATATCTGAATTTAGCAGAGGCGTAGCGAGGGTGTTTGGCGCCCGGGGACAAGATCCATTTTAAAGCGCCCCTTTTTCATGTTTTCAACCATCAAACCCATTATTTTCATCAAAAAATAATATCAAAGCACATTTTGGCGCCCCTAACTAGCTGGCGGCCGGAGACATCTGCCCCCCCCCACCCTCCCGCCTCTGGAATTTAGTTTTGCATCATTCTACACTTAATTGGAGCGCAAGGGAAGGAATGCTAGAGGAAATATGGGTGCCCTTCGACATGGTTGTGTTTAGAGAAATCATTTCATTTTTAGTTAAGATTTGAGATCACTAATTTGAAATGAATTTTTACAAATTCCCACCAAAATAGGGTCTGGTATGCCGTAACGATAAAAAAGCGCAAATAAATGAAGAAATAAGTTAATTTTTGATACATCTGACGTGCGTCAACATTTAAATTAAAAGAAGTTTTGTCCTATTCATATTGGCGTTAGTGACTGACTCGGACTGATAAATGTGACAGAGTCCATAGTTACGGCTGGCAGCATCTATTGCTATTGGAATAATAAATTAATTATGTGTAAAATAAAAAATAATACTAATAATAGTAAAAAAATGTATGTTTTTTTCAATAAATTTACTGCACATCCCAATTTTTACAGGCATTACGGACACTGCTTGCATCCCAGGGGTAACATTGGCATTGACCCAATGTTACCCCCTTCGATTTGAAGGGAAGAAAATCATATTTACCATATGGAAAATACAATTATAAAAGTACAAAATAAAATCCATAAAACAAATTAATAAAATTCTCATTGCCGGTATGCAAAGAAAAGTACCAGGAAATTATTATTTTTATTTCTTATATGTCACCTCAAATTTAGTGGAAGCGATGACATTTTGATACAATGCCACAGATGATGTTTTTGGGTTGGATCATTGGTTTGTTTTCATGTTCATTAGGGTAAAAAAAAATCCTTGTTCTCAAAGGTCAAAGGTTGTTGCAAAAGACAGCAACTTTTTTTTACTGCCACCTAGTGAGTAATTTTGAAAGCATTTGCATCTCTTGATGTTTTGAACATAAGCAGTGGCGTCACCATGGAGTATGGATCACACAAGGTGAAACCATCACCGGGGGGCAGCGGCGTCACCATGGAGTATGGATCACACAAGGTGAAACCATCACCGGGGGGCAGCGGCGTCACCATGGAGTATGGATCACACAAGGTGAAACCATCACCGGGGGGCAGTGGCGTCACCATGGAGTATGGATCACACAAGGTGAAACCATCACCGGGGGGCAGTGGCGTCACCATGGAGTATGGATCACACAAGGTGAAACCATCACCGGGGGGCAGTGGCGTCACCATGGAGTATGGATCACACAAGGTGAAACCATCACCGGGGGGCAGTGGCGTCACCATGGAGTATGGATCACACAAGGTGAAACCATCACCGGGGGGCAGTGGCGTCACCATGGAGTATGGATCACACAAGGTGAAACCATCACCGGGGGGCAGTGGCGTCACCATGGAGTATGGATCACACAAGGTGAAACCATCACCGGGGGGCAGTGGCGTCACCATGGAGTATGGATCACACAAGGTGAAACCATCACCGGGGGGCAGTGGCGTCACCATGGAGTATGGATCACACAAGGTGAAACCATCACCGGGGGGCAGTGGCGTCACCATGGAGTATGGATCACACAAGGTGAAACCATCACCGGGGGGCAGTGGCGTCACCATGGAGTATGGATCACACAAGGTGAAACCATCACCGGGGGGCAGTGGCGTCACCATGGAGTATGGATCACACAAGGTGAAACCATCACCGGGGGGCAGTGGCGTCACCATGGAGTATGGATCACACAAGGTGAAACCATCACCGGGGGGCAGTGGCGTCACCATGGAGTATGGATCACACAAGGTGAAACCATCACCGGGGGGCAGTGGCGTCACCATGGAGTATGGATCACACAAGGTGAAACCATCACCGGGGGGGCTGACATCCTCTCAGCGGGATGATACCAAATTGAACATGGTAACAAGGCACCGCTCGATCAAGTCGCTGCTATAATTGTAACAGATCTAGGGTGCCGCCAGTGTAGACTACCACCAGAGACGAATAGTCACAGCAGGTAGACTCGGGGGGGGGGGGGTTCCAAGGGGGGGGGAGTGGAGGTGGTGAGACCATGAGTTGACCACATAAGATAATACCCTTACTAGCAAAAGATAAGACGTGTGGTTACACCAGCTCCCAAGCCATCAGTAGCCACATGTTGGCTGCCTTTCTCTATTTAACTGGCCACATGCAGTATTTTTTAAAAAAAGAAACGCACTTTAAATATAATTTTTATATATTTCTATTGAGCCCTCGTTAGCAACGAGATTTTAATTTTTACCCCATTTGGTGTAATTGATTCCAGTTTGCCGACCCCTGCTACTAACTTGAAAAGGGATTTACACCATGATAATACACCAAGATATTACACCATGATAATTCAGCTGGTATTTTGAGACAATACGATGTTCTCCATATTTGATTTATCTCCTTTTGATTTATACCCCAGATTGGATGATACATTAAAATAAGTTTAATAATAAATACAGCACATTATTTTTTTAATTGGTACTCTATATAGGGCTCAGGATTAACTAAATTTTTTAACATTAATCCTACTTTATTTACATGGGAAACTAGTGCTAACTTTAGACACTGTATCTTTCAGTTTAAGATGTTACCACTGTGTGATGTTGATTTTCTTTTTAAAGTTTATTGGCAAAGGACTAAAACAGAAGTCAAACATTTAATAACCATAATTTCATGTCAACTTGCTCTTAGCATTACAGTTAGAGGTTGACCATGCCCCCCCCCCCCCCCCCCCCCCCCTTACCCCTTCATGTTTTCCCCTTGCAAATCTTTTTTATTTTTTACTCAAAAAAGGCAGAACACAAAAAAGAGATTGAACTTAAATTACGGTACTCCGAAAAAAATCAATTTTAATTGTCAATATTTTACAATGCCCAGTGGAAGATTCCATAAATTATCATCAGAATAGATGTATAGTGGAAAAAGAAAGGAAGTGCTTGAAAAATGCATAGCTAATAAATCTAGAATACCTTTACAGAAAAAAATGCATCTGTGTTCTTTTAATTACATTTTAAATTTTCTGTATCATTTGCCATTAAAAATACATTATAAAAAATACAGACATTTCTTTACATATCATTTAATTTTGTGTACCTGGTACATAAAGCGTCTCCCCTTTACAAAGTAAGTGAAATTGTAAAAGGAATATAACAATAGACTAGTGTGGCATTATCAGCTGAAATACCCTTTCTCTTTGAACATTCTATACAATAAATCATTTTCTCTGACAACATAAGACAGTGTTTTCTTGCTGTAGAAGTCAGAGTCCATACTGAGATTTTCCATGACATCTTCAATCAGATGAGCCCTAAGTACATCTGAGCCAGGTGCATCAAATTTGACATGTGTGAAGTGTACATGAAGGTGGTAATAGGACGGCTGGTAGTGGAAGTACACACGCAACTTGTCTCTCGTCACAGCAAAATTCTCTTTAATTGCAGACTATTGAATTGATGTAAGAAAACAAGATGCACTGACAAAAAAATATTGAATAAATCATAAAATAAACATCTATATCAGGTATCATTAATTAATAGTTAACTTTTTTAGGAGCTGCTACTGTATCAATGACAGGAATAAAATAAATAATACATTTTATCTATGCATGCACGCACACACACACACACACAAACACACATATAAAGTAATATACATATATTCAATGTTATATTACTTACAAATTATATGTCTTTTATAAACATTGAAGATTTAAGCACCTGTCTGAAGAGTAACTTTATAAAAACTACCATTATCTTTTACCAAATAATTTTAGTTTTACTCATGTGACTCACCTGGCCCTTTGATAAGATATTTTCCAACAATGGCAAATGCTCTTTCCTTAGGTCACGTAATGATTTGATACCATGCTTGTGAACAATGGCAACCATATACAAGGCATCTATATTCTTACAGTCCCATTTCATGTCTGGCACCATAACAAATCCCACATCGGGGTCTGGGTCTTCCACTAAAATGCGATCAGACTCTGTTTTCTTCTCCAGGATGTTATAAACCCACTGGTGATGCAAAAAAAAAGGAGAACACTGTACGTTATAATAAACAAAATTAAAAAGTGGCGACAGTATATAAGTACGGTAATCTCAATTATGTCAAAAATCTACTGAGAATAATTTCAAAGTGTTAAAAAAATCACATATTCATTAATCTGTCAAGGTCTCAATGTACAACAGTACAATTACAGTAAGTCTGATTATTACCCTCAAATTAATTTACAAGTTTGAGCAAAATATTAAACTGTTTTGCCTTGTATAGCGCTGGAAAAAAAAACAACTGTACTATTTCAAAGTTGAGATTTGGGCGTTTTTTAAAAATCTTTTTTTCACAGTAAGTACACGGGTAGTTCTTCAAATTTTTTTGAACTCAAAAGGTTTAAAAGACGATTCTCAATTTTGATGTCCAATAACCTACTTGAATGCTAAATTTACTTTCTTTTATGCATGGAAGGGTCACAGTTTGATACAACTCTTGAGTTTCTTGAATAATAAATGGCTCATGATCAGCATATTTTGTGATATGCTTTTCTGTTGCTGGATGAATCAAGGTGGCTTTTATATCTGGAGAGAAAAAAAAAAGGGTTATCTTTCTGATACTTCAAATATGATAGATATTAAAATGGACATTTAAGGAAAGGATACTTATAAAAATTATTTCCAATCAGTAACATAGCTATGTTTTATAACTTGGGGGAGCCACAAAAAAAGAGAATAAAAAAGTCATCCCCCCCCATAAGATGTAGATTTAAATTAATTATTATGTAATTATTATATATACCATATTAAATGAGAGGGGACTGGGACTGTTACTTTGATGGGAGGGGGGATTGAATGGTTGCAGGCTTTGGAGAAAGTGTGTGTGTGTGTGTAAAAAAAAAAAAGGGGGGGGGGTGAGGAGTGTTGAGCCCCTCCCAGAAACATTTTTAAATGCAGGGATCTATTTTGGGGCATACATGAATGTAGTTTTCCATTATTTCAGAAAGCAACAGAAGAAAGACATGCTAGTATAAATTTAGGTGTCCCTTTTTATTTATCTATTGAACACTCTGTTGCTTGTATGTTGTTGAGCCTTCTCGTCCATGAGGGGCATCCACCGATCATCGTCGGCGTCTGCGGTTCCTCCAAGGGCATAGGCCACCTACGAGAGACCTCCAGGCATCTCTATCCTGGGCCAGCTTCTCCAGGATCTTCCATTCATGGCCAATTTTCTTGATGTCTGTCTCCAATTCTCGGCGCCAAGTGTTTCTTGGACGGCCTCTTTTCCGCTTACCCTGTGGGTTCCATTTCAGGGCTTGCTTTGTTATGTTAGAAGCAGGTTTTCTTAGTGTATGACCAATCCACCTCCACCGCTTCTGGAGAATCTCTTCCTCAATGGGTTTCTGTTTAGTCCGCTGCCACAGTTCCTGGTTGCTGATTTTGTCTGGCCAGTGAATTCTGAGAATCCTTCTTAGACAGTTGTTGATGAAGGACTGGATTCTGGTCAGGTTTACGGCCGTTGTTCTCCATGTCTCGGCTCCATATAGCAGCACAGGTTTTACCATAGCGTTAAAAATCCTTACTTTTAACTTGCTGCCTAAGTTGTTAGAGACCCAAACATTCTTGAGTTGTTGGAAGGCTGCTCTTGCTTTTCCTATCCTTATTTTGACGTCCGCATCTGTACCTCCTTGTTTATCTACCATGCTGCCAAGGTAAACAAAACTGTCCACCTCCTCAAGGGCTTCTCCTTCAAGCATAATGGGTGATGTACTGGTGGCATTAACCTTGAGGCCTTTACTCTTCCCTTTGTGGATGTTGAGACCCATGCTAGCAGAAGTGGCTGCGACAATGTTTGTTTTCTCCTGCATCTGTTGTTGGGTATGTGCAAGAAGTGCAAGATCATCAGCAAAGTCAAGATCATCCAGTTGATCCCACAAGGTCCATTGGATGCCATTTCTTTTCTGCTGTGTAGATGTTTTCATCACCCAGTCAATGGCTAACAGGAAGAGGAATGGTGACAGCAAGCAACCTTGTCTCACACCAGTCTTCACCTGGAAAGCATCTGTCAACTGCTGGCCATGGATAACTCGGCAGTTTATCCCTTCGTACATGTTTCTGATTATATCAGTAATCTTCTGTGGCACCCCGTAATGCCTTAGCAATCTCCACAGGGTTTGCCTGTCAACACTGTCGAAGGCTTTTTCATAGTCAACAAAGTTGACATAGAGCGGCGAGTTCCACTCTAGTGACTGCTCTAGAATGATGCGCAGTGTCGCTATCTGGTCCGTGCAGGATCTGTTGGTGCGAAAGCCGGCTTGTTCGTCCCGCAACAGAGGGTCTACAGCGTTTTTCATCCTGTTAAGTAGTACACGGTTGAAAACCTTTCCTGGGATGGACAGCAGGGTGATCCCTCTGTAGTTCGAGCAGGAGCTTAAGTCTCCCTTCTTTGGGATCTTGATAAGGTATCCCTCTTTCCAATCGGAAGGAACTTGCTCCTCTTCCCATATCTTCATAAACAGAGGGTGTAGCATTTCCACACTGGTTTCCAGGTCCGCCTTCAGTGCCTCTGCTGGGATGCCATCAGGTCCCGCAGCCTTTCCATTTCTGAGTTGTTTAATGGCCCTGCTAATCTCTTCTTTGGTGGGACTATTACAGTCAATTAGCAGGTCATTATCGGCTGGTTGGATATCTGGTGGATTTCTTGGTTCAGGCCTGTTCAGGAGCTCTTCAAAGTGTTCCTTCCATCTCCCTCTCTGTTGCTCCTCACTTGGTATGGTGTTTCCCATTTTGTCCTTCACTGGTCTCTCTACCTTGCTAAATTTCCCTGACAGCGTCTTAATGGTATCAAACAGTTCCCTCATGTTCCCCTGGTGAGCTGCATCCTCTGCTTCTTTAGCAAGTTTATCAACAAATTCCTTCTTGTCCCTCTTGATGCTTTTCTTAACTTCCTTATTTGCATCTGCATACTCCTTCTGGGACTTGTTTTTCTGTGCTCGGGTGCGGCTGTTATTCACTTCTGATTTCTTTCTTTTCCTTTCTTCTATTTTATTCAGCGTACCTGCTGTCATCCATTCTTTGTGTGCCTTTTTCCTGTTTCCTAGCACTTCTTGACATGTTGACTGGACTGTTTCTTTCATGCTTTGCCACTTTCCTTCGGTGGTTTCATCTTCAAGTATTTCTTGTAGGACTTGGAACTTATTGAATAGTGAGATTCTGAATTCTTCCTTTTTGGCTTGGTCCTTCAGGAGGGAGGTATTATACCGAGTCCTGTATGCTGTTTGCTCGGTATAATGTCTCTTTAGTTTTAATTTCATCCTGGCCACAAGAAGATGATGATCTGAGGCAATATCAGCTCCCCTCTTAACACGTACGTCTTGGAGAGATCGCCTGAATTTTTTACAAATACATACATGGTCTATTTGGTTCATCGTTCTCATGTCCGGAGAGACCCATGTAGCTTTGTGAATCCTCTTGTGCTGGAAAATGCTCCCCCCTATGACCAGGTCAGCTGTGGCACATAGGTCCGCAAACCTCTCACCATTGTCGTTCATCTCGCCTATCCCTTGCTGTCCCATAACCTCTTCGTACCCTGTGTTGCTATTGCCGATCTTGGCATTAAAGTCTCCCATGAGGATGACGATGTTCCTCCGTGGGCGATCCTGGACTATGGTCATTACTCTATTGTAGAATTCTTCTTTGTCTCCTTCATCACTTTCATTAGTTGGTGCGTAGCATTGTATAACATCTAGGTTGATGCTACGTTTCTTTGTTCGAAAGGTTGCTAAAAGAATTCTAGGTCCATGGGCCTCCCATCCAATGAGTGCTCCTTGTGCTGCCCTTGATAGCATCATAGCAACACCCAGGGTATGTGGGGCATTGTCTTCTTCGTGTCCCGAAAATATCACCATCTCTCCTGAGATTAATCTCTTCTGTCCCCATCCAGTCCATCTTGCTTCACTAATTCCGAGAATGGTGAGCTTATAGCTCCTCATCTCAGCGGCTATTTGTGCCGCTTTACCAGCCTCGTACATGGTGCGGACATTCCAAGCGCCAATGACGGTGGTAGTCCTGGTAGAGATGATGGTTGTCGGCTTAATAGCTTCCAGGTTTCGGCTTTCACTATTAGGCGTCATATTTTCCTCCTCAAGGAATCCATCCTCTCCCAGGACTGAAATGTCTTTTGTTACTCTTTTCGGTGCTTTTGTAACTATGATTTTTTACATGGCAGGGTTGTTGGCCTTGCGCACAACCACTTGGGGGGTTGCCCCTCACAGCTCAATGGGTAGCTGCCTTTGTTCGGGTTAGGTCCCTAGCCTTTGTGGATCCCTCCACTTCCTACAAGGCAGTAGGGCTGATTTTGGTCCGCCCCGGGTATTTTATTTCCCCGGTACCCTCCATATCTGGCGGGCTTTCCCCTATCCGCCGGCTGGGGAGGCGCTCGATAGAAGATCAGCATCTCCCACGAGCTGTTGCTTGTATGCAGTAGTAATATGACAATTTTTTTTAGATTACCGGTACCGGTACCTAGTTGCTTTATTCTCCATTCGTTCCAATTTTCAAATACATTTTTAAAATAAATTTCAAATAGTTGAATACAAAATAAATGTGTTTATATATTAGCCTAATGAATATAGTAACATGTAAATAACGCAAAATTTTCCTTGTGCCCCAAGCAAAAGTGGTGCTATTTGCAGGTTCAGCAGGATTGATGATCATGCACAATAATTTGAAAGAAGAAGACATAGGCACATTAAAAATGAAAAAAAAACAAAAAAACAACAACATATATCTACATTTACTGATATTGGTATGTATAATAACCACAGAATAATTATGAAACTAAGCAAAACTAAGCCGTTCATTTACATCAACATGTACAATTGATGTATGAAGTTTTTGTTTTATCGCCATTTCGATCATTTTAACTTCACTATGTGTTTACAAAATATATACACTATACCTATCAGTCATTTTCAACCGTCAGACGCATAGAGAGTCTTATGGCAACACACTTATGTATTATGATTTTTAGCAACTCACAGTATCATGATTTTTAGCAACTCACAGTGCGGTAGCAGACTGATTGGCCATGCAAATGGTATGTATCACCCCTGTTCATGAAGTAATTCAGTGCCAATGCAGCATAGTATGTGCTATTCACAGGGAATAAATCATGATTTTGTTCCACACAAACATTTGTGCATTTTGTGTTTGACAGGATTTTTCTCTTGCTATTTCAAGGTTTTTTTGTTAATCAACAGTGCCAGGGGGAGTTAGCGCATGTGTCAGATTTCACTGTATTTCTAAATACATTACTGACATTAAATGAGAACCATAAAAATCTTTGGCCTTTAAAATGAAACACAAAGTCCTGAAGGTATTTATAAAAGGAGAGCGTTTCGTTTACAGTGGTGGTAATGCAAGTTTGTGAACAATACTGTCACATCAACAGTTTCAAAAACTCTGAAGTAAATGTAGCCAAACCATAGAAATGAAGCTTTGCTAACTATGGTGTTAAACATAAAATTATTTAAAAAAGAGAAATGAAGTAGAAAAAGCTGTTTCTCCCCCACCCCCCCCCCCCCCAGCAGTGTAAATTGAAATTTTTGAAAATTATTAAAAGTAAAAAAAAATTGAAGTACCGTAATTATTGGCGTATAACACGCACCTTTTCTCCCCGAAAATAGGGGGCAAATCATGTGTGCGTCTTATACGCCAATATAATGTTTAGTTTTTTTCCTGACATTTCCTTCTTAAATTGAGGTGCTTGTTAAACGCGGGGGCATGTTATACGCCAATAAATATGGTACTTATTTCGACCAGGATGTCATGTCACCATAGACAGAAAGAGAAGCTATTATTTTACATAATGAAAATTTAGCATCATCTTTCATTCATCTATGCCTATACACCTAGACCTGTACTTGGAGACTGTCCATTGCTATGCAACCCTTTTTCATGCAAGCCACACCTAGAATGCCGATGAACACCACAAGTAAAAACTTGAGTTCAGACCGGGTCTATAATTATTGGAAATTAACATCAGCCTTTATAACCTTGACAACATGATGACTAGCTTCCCAAACTTTGACAAATGATCTCGTTCTTAAATCAGCGGCTAAGGTGACCATTTTTTCAAAATTAAAACCAGGACATTTATAATTGTTTTGCCCCAAGGGTGTCCAAAAATAAACAATAATTAGTGATTACACAGACAGCTGTTATGTCAGTAGAGTCGTTGAGGTGTTTTTTGGAGAAAAAAAAGATTGTGATTTGATGCCAGTTTGGATGAACAATATTTCTTTTAGTTGTGTCATTATTTTATGCTGAGATATCAGATGCACTTGATCTTGTGATAAATAAACAAATTAATTTTGTTCAAACTTTGTAGTCTTAAAATGTATGAGCTTTAACCAGGACAAGCCCAGACAAACAAATGTAAAAAAAACCAGTAGCCTACCGTACTTTGGGGACATCCATAAATGATGTCACGCAAATTTTGCTGATTTTTTACCCCCCTCCCCCATCACAAATCGTCACAAAGTTAGACACCCCCCCCCCTCAAATATAACGTCGCAAATCTCTATCTTGTTCCTAAACGGGTATTTGCCGCAATATCTACACCCTCCCCCCCCCCATAAAAATTCCATGTCCACCACTGTCCTTAACCAGGGGTAAAAGTACCTCCCCAGCCCTGAGGTGTGGAAGACCAGAAAATTGTATTTGCTGCCATTGCTGGTTGTTGTTGCTTTAAAATAAAAAAATCAGTTTTTATGCATCTTGATTATCAGTAGTAAATGTTTTTCTGGCGAATTTTTTTGCGCATTACTTGTATTGCTAATTTTTTCATTGCTTATAAAAAGTTAATTAAAGAAATAAAACTAAGATAACTAAATTATTTCATTATTTTCATATTCTAAATTTTATTACAATATAATGTATACAGTTGGGTGGGGGGTGGGTGTATAACACAGAGTGGGCATGCAGCGCTGAAAAAATGGTTAAGAATCCCTGCCCTAGGCCTAGAGCATTTACCAAGATCACCCCCCCCTCCCTCCGTCAACCTTTTTTCCTTCCTTTCCATCCCACTTCCCGTAGTAGTACTATAGCTTTGATTTCTATGATTCCTGTGTCCACCTTCAGCCTTAAATTCTCAAGACTGCCATTGTAACTACATCTCGATTCTCTTCCTCCATGGCTTCCTGTAACTTGATCAGAGGTCATTCTTCGGACCTCGCATACCTGTACTGATTCTCTCAGTGATCATAGCTTTTAAGTAAAATAATTATATTTGTTGTACAAAAGAATAAAGTTAAAAATTTCTGTAATGTAGGGGTTTTAAGTGCAATTCTTTACTATAACATTCCGCTTTTCATGTGATGTCACATTGCTTAAGCACCCCCCCCCCATCAGCACAAAAATCTGACCCCCCTCCCCCCTAGATGTGTGACGTCATTTATGGATGGCCCCTGTCCTGGTCAATGATTACCGTACTGACCTGGTCAATGAGTACAAATGACAAATGGTCATCTTAGCTGGGGCACACCATTCACTACTTGTGATTTCTACTTTCCCCACTGATCAAAGTTTGAATCAAAGTAACAGTCCCTGCCCCTCTTAACTTATTTATACCATTCACCAAAAATCTAATAAATCAGTGGTTCCCAAACTTTAAAGTTTGGCAGACCGGTGAAAAAGTTTCAAAATTTTACCAGGGACCAGTGCCAGTGCATGATTTATTTTTATTTCTATTTGACTAAATATTTATGTTATGGGGACCCGCAGCGTTAGGCATGCGGACCGGTGAAGGTCCACGGACCGCCATTTGGGGACTACAGTAATAAATAACTAAGACTAAGAACTAAGACTTAGACATAATAAATAAACTTCATAAGGAACAATGATAATAGTAATAGGCATAGGCCTACATCAGTTCAGAAAATATAATTAAATTAATTATAACAAAAATAAAAAGAAAGAATAATTGTTCTTCTTCTATATTATATATTTACCAGCAGCAGCACTTGATTCTGAACCGTAAACATCATGCGTGCTGTATATATCATTATGAAGAGTTTCGACAGTTTTTGTTAAGCGTAAACTATTTTCCAGAGTTGATACTTCAAAAGATTTCCGTTCAAGAAGAAGAACTGCATCTTTTTTCTTGTTCTCGCCATCATCTTCTAAGGGAAGAGATCCGTGTAATGTTATCATTTTGTGTCGTACATCCTCTCGTAGAACGCGAATGAGATTAAAATCCTTAAAAACGGAATGTCCTGAGGATAACCGCTTTTCATTAACAACAGCTTCTTGATTAGAATTAGTGCCTAGCCCTATGACATGTGTGGAGTCATCCCCACTTTTATCATCAAGCTTTCGTTTCTTTTCTCTCTGTTCTTGACACAAAGACATTCTTAAAATGATTGACAGCCTAATGATTATGGTTCTTTGAATCTATAAGTAATTTATAGACATAAATTTATAATTATAAACCTTTCTTAAGACATGAAACAAAGCATCAAGAAGTAGAAATAACTTGCCAAAATTTCAAATTTTAAGGAAGATTTGTTCACTGTCTATTCACACAACTCTCTTATCTAAATGCCAAAAACATAATTCAATTTAAGTTTTTAACAAAGACAAGGGAATTTTTTGTGTGGTCGGAATGGATATTTTTTGGACTTTTCTCCATTTCAACATTAAAATATTAATAAAGTATATAATTATCCCTTTTATCACTAGTTAATAAAAAAAAAAGTTAAATATTGGTATAAAGGGTTTTGAAACAACGCTAATAGTAATTTAATTGAATTTAAGAATTATTTAGAATGAGTTTTAGTGCCTAGTGGCGTGCCTTGACTAAATGCCATAGGGGCGAACTCTCAAAAGGTTGCCCTCATAAGCAAACAAACTCATAAGCATTATTTATATAATGCTAAATATGTAAACTAAAAAAACATACCGGGCGCTCCCCCCCCCCCCATTTTCGCGTTCTCTGGTTATTTATTATTAAAGACTCCGTTCCATGCCATGAGTTATAGTTGTTCACATCATGTAGCAGAAACGTACACATCCTTGACCCCCTCCCCCATGTAAGTACACAGCCTGCTATATTTTATAAATAAATTAAGTGTGAAAAGATACAGTTAGTGGTGAGGTCGGGTATGCAATGAATGTTGTAAATAGGTATTGTACAAACTTTATATAAGCTATAAATATCTATATGAAGATAGAAAGGGAAATACATTTGACCTAATTTATAATATTTTTAAAAATATATTAATCGTTAGAATTAATAATGATGTTAACACACAATTATGTTTAAAAAATGATATAAATAATCTTTGAAAAAGTATATTAAAAATAAAAACATTAAACAAAAATTAATTGCATATATTTTGAAAAGATGTTTTACATTAATCCCTTCGTTTATTATAACTTGCCATGGGTGTGAACTCTTGCGTTCTGGGGTCACGATAAAGCGTTTGGTCTCACGAGAAGAGAAACAAGAGGACTGATTCCGGCTGTTTTCTTGGATTGTTTGAGATAATAGTTTGTGTTGACAATTCTAAATTCTGTTGTTGTGATATTAAGGAATACCAGAACGGCAGGTCAAAGCAAATGACAGAATATAAGTTGGTGGTCGTAGGAGGTGAGTTGTACTATCAATAGCTTAAATTTGAAATGTATGTCGTCTTTACTTTAGTTCAGTTCACTCAGCAGTAAACTGGTCACTGTCACTTTTTTCACTTTACTTATTTTTTTTTACTATTACTAGTATTACTAGTCAACTCTATCTAAGTCGACTAAGTAAGTGGGCTTTAGTTGTCTGTCTTTAGTAGGCCAAAGTAAATAACACAGGCCTACTTTGTTTTATTTTTTATGATAATAGCCTACACTTGATTCAAACTTACTGACTACTGATAACTGATAACTTATCAGTGATAAGTCTGATGATACTGAATACTGATACTAGAGACTAGTCCTTGACAATCTCTACTCTAAAATTCATCTACAATTTCTACAATATAAATAAAATACATAGGCTAATGTATATTAGTATTATATTAATATACTATGTAGAGCTATGACTATACTCCTATATTATAAAAAAAACAAACTAGGCCTAATATAAATGAATTATCATTTGAATTATAATAATAATTCCTATAATTTAGTATAATGATAATACTATAACTATAGTCTATAGTAAAAATTGACTATAAAATAAATATATTAGTATAATAGGCCTACTTACTTAAGGAAGCTACTTAAGTTAAAGTTAAGGCTTCTTCCTTAATTTTTATCGCTGAGAATGTCTTAGTGACTGTTTTATTATCTTTTTTTTACATGTAAGCTTAACATACACCTAAAAATATAGATTCAGAAATTATTGATGGGAATGCAATGAACTGGATGTTATTTGTACTGAATTAGGGCCATTCATTCATAAATGACATCACACTATTTTGGTCAATTTGGAACAAACCACTCCGCCCCCATTCTCACTTGGTCCAATGGTCACAAATTTGTCACACAATTTAGACACCCTCAAAATACATGGTCATAGAGTCATGATTCCTCCCCCCCCCCCCCCCCCCCCCCCATTCATAAATGACATCACACTATTTTGGTCAATTTGGACCAAACCCCTCCCCCCCCTTTCTCACTTGCTCCAATGGTCACAAATTTGTCACACAATTTAGACCCCCTCAAAATACATGGTCATAGAGTCATGATTCCCCCCCCCCCACCCCGATGCATGACATTATTTCTAGATGGCCCCTTATGGATAGGTCTAGGCCTTGATGTTTTGATTTAATCTATGTCAATCGAGATCCCATACCATATAGATTCCCAAACTTTTGAGTGTTATTCACAGACTACATATTTAAAATATGTTCTGCAAAACTTTATTTCAAACCACTTTTCTTTTTTTATCAGAGCAGTGGTCTTATCTATTTTGTTGGAGTGAAAAATAACTTATTTTAGACCTTTTTTTTTTAGTGTGGAGGCATTTTTATAAATTATATATGTTCAGATAACATTTTTGGAGCAGCTGTTATAATAAATTATAGATTAGTTACAAAACAACAAAAAACGGCAGAATCTATTCCTTAAAAGAGCTGCATGCTGGCTCTGGAGCAACAGGCCGCAGACCTATGACTTATTTAAATTGGTAGACTTTTTTATTTCAAATAATATTCTTCTCCTGAAAGGGATTTGCCAGATGAATCGCAAAAAAGTCCACTCTGGTACATGTGATATGTAGATTTTTTGGTTAGGAAAATCAGGATATTTTGGGCATTCATATTATCTGTTTGGTCCAATTTAATCTTGCTCTGAAGTTGATATTCTACTACCGTACAGAGTTTATGTTTAAGCTATGTTATAAGCCATTGGGGCTGTTATAGTGCAGTGATCCGAAACTCAAGTTTGATAGTATTTTTCAGACACTTAAGGCACAAAGTTGAAAATCAAATTTGTTACTTGCAGATTATTTTGTGTATTAGTTGCTTATATAATTTTAGTTTTACAAAATGTACATTAAATAGACTTAGTTATTTAAACAATTATAAACCCAAGAATACTAGAACATCTTGAACTTTTAAGAAAGCATCATCCCTAATTAATTTGAATAAAGTATTTGCAGAATATATAGGTGCTTCTTTAATAATTGTGACTGCGCCATTGTTTTTATTCCTTATTGCCAATATTTCCTCACCTAAATATATAATTGAAAACAAGACTTCCAATTTAATAGCACTGTACCTGCAAGATTATTAAAGCAAATATTATTTTTAAAAGTCTTCTCATTTTCAGGGAAAATTATAGTTTTGATCTAAAGCATATTTAAAATTTCATTATCCTAAATATGGCTTCATCAGCAATAAAAATTCTTGGGAAAAGTGGAAGCATCTCTATACTATATCTTCTTCTTGCATTCTATGATCCCAAAGACTCAGGTTCTTTTTAATTGCATCTGATTTATTTCTAAGTGCAATATTAATCCTTCTGAGAAAAATATTAAATTCAAGACACGGCTAAACATGTCTGCATTATCCGCTAGCCAACCCATCTATTTCTCATTTTCAAATAAGGGCTCTACTATGACAGAGACTAATTCCTTCTTTTGGATAAGTTGTGAGGAGCACTTCCACTTGATAATCACCCCTCTTCAGCAGGGAGAAAGAGATGTTTTTATTTTGACAATATCTTTGCTAGTGACTTCATAATCACCATAGCTCTAAGTCTCAAGTAGAATAGCATAATTAACTACATCCATTGATTCATCAAATTAAATTGAAAAAATTGTCTCTATTTCTGATTCACATCTTCAATTTTCTCTTCAATATGTCTGCCTTGTCATCAGTGGTCGCACTATACTCTGCTACATGATCCATCTTAAGGGTAATAATTTTTTTGCAAGCCATCAAAATACTTGTTTATGGGTCATATACTACTGACACCATTGTTTAGGGTCAACTATAACTGCTATAATGCTCATGTCATTACTTGTCAATAATTGTGAATAATGACAACACTTCATGAAAGGTTCGTCTTTAATACTCACAATCGACCTAGATGTATGACCACACCCTTTGACAAACCGGAACACTATCCACTCGAACCACACGTCTTAACATGAACCAACTCTCCATTGGATCTTATTTTCGACATCCTTTTTTACTGCCATTCCCTTTCATCCAATCACAATTTAGACACAAAACTACAACAAGCTCACAACAACGACAGTGATTCTCATACCCTTGACACAAAGCGACAGGAGATTTCTGGGGATGAGTGGTTGAAAAGCACTTGGCTATAGAGTCTACTCAAAGATTGCTCATATGCTTATGAAAGTTAAAATTGTCTTTTAATAATAGAGTACTCCTGAATCCTAATAATTACATTACCATAATTGATGTTATGTTGGCCATGTCATTGACCTGTGAGTATTTAAAACTTAGGTGACAAATACACCATTTAACAGATTGTTTGGGACACTATAGAAATATATAATCCCTGTACTGGGCCTTAGATGCTATATCATTATTTGATAATTGGATTGGAAAAGGGCCTTAACCCGATAATGTTTAAATCAATTGGATTAAAAGGCCCACCTCAGTTATTGATAAGGTAAAACTTAGTTACTAATTGTATTTGATTTCTTAACATTTTATTTGTTAAATATCGACATTTCCCTGATTTATCACATTGTATTTTTAGCTGTCATCTCTTCCGTTATCTTACTAATAAATTACTTTTTCTATTATTGATTGGGTTGTATTAACCATTAAAAAATTTTTTTTTGCATATTGGAAGTTAGGACACATTTTTATGAACTAGTCAATGCAAACAATAAGAGAGGATAACTTTTTGTATGTCTCCACAAACTTTTAAAGAATTCTTATTGGTTATTTACCCCTCGGCTTAATGCAAAACTTCAAATTTAAGCTGATACTTTCAAAATTTCTAGCACTCTGATAAAGGCTTACCTTTTTTTTTTAATTTAGAAATTTGTATTGTACAATGTTAGTGATTTCCTTTTCCCCCCCCCCCCCTCTTTTCTTTTTGTGTTTTTTTTTTAAATTAAAAATTTTTA